GCTCCTTTGTTCACAGGTTTGACCCTGCCAGTATCACACCCAGTTCTGCTGGACCTATGAGCAGACAGGATGTGGCCAGGGTCTTTTTTGGTAGTGTTAGAGAGTGGTAAGGGGTGCCAGAACACACTCAGATGGTGACTTTATGGCCACTAAAGTTGCTCATCTCTGTTGGAGAATGTGGGAAGCTCAGGCAGAGGATGGCAAGCACTGAGACCTCCCCCAGCATTACCAGCTGGGGCTGAGATCAGGGCCAAGGAGAAACCTGTGCTGGTGCTTAGGGGATTGTCATGTTTGGCTGGAAAGCTGCTGGCAGGAAAGGACCTGGGGGATGCTGGTCAGTGGTGCCTGACCGTGAGCCCAGTGTGCCCAGGTGCCCAGGAGGGCCGATGGCACTTGCCTTGTACCAGCCATAGGACCAGGACAGTGCCCACCCCTCTGAGTTGGGCACTTCTGAGGCACCTCCAGTCCTGAGGTGAGCAGCCCTCACAAGAAGGACATTGAGGGGCTGGAGCGTGTCCAGAGAAGGGAATGGCGCTGGGGAAGGGTCTGGAGTTCCTGCCAGGGAACAGGAACAGGAGGAGAGGGAAGGGCCTCAAGTTGTCCTGGGGAGGTTTAGATTGGATATTAGGAAAAATTTCCTCCTTGACAGGCTGGTCAGACACAGGCTGCCCAGGGCAGTGGTGGAGTCGCCATCCCTGAGGTGTTACAAGATGTGTGGGTGTGGCACTTGGGGACATGGTTTAGTGGTGAACATGGCAGAGCTGGGGCAGTGGTTGGGCTTGGTGATGTTAGAGGGTGTTTTCTACCTGAACAGTTCCATGATTCAACTTTGGAGGTGTCATGGTGCCTGGGCATGGCTTGGAACTACACCTGAACACCTCCCTACCCCAGCTGGGGTCTCATGTTGCCCAGTTCCCAGTCTGGTGGGGTTCCTGAGAGAGCAGGGGTGCAACACTCTGGTGCAGGAGAGCTGGGGCAGCTGGACACTGGGGAGCAGAGGAGCAACTGCACTGGCCTAGAGAAACCTTCTGAGATGTCTCCTGGTGGCTGCAGGAGGCCCCAGGATGCTTTGTGATGTCTCTGTGCTTTCCCACGTGAGTTTTGGCAGCCGGTGCCCGTCCTTGCCCTCTTGCTTCACTCATCCCACTCTCACTGCATGGTCTGTGTGTTTGGCTGCAGCTCCCAGGGGCATCCCTGGGTGAGGCTGGCCAATTGCCTGAAGAGCAGGATCTTCCTGGGGGATTCCTGCATCTCCAGTGTCTCTCTGCTGCTGGGGAGATGGGACAGGATGGCATGGCGGGGGGGGAGCACACTGAGAACTGCCACTGGGTCCTCCCCAGCCCCCCAGGTCCCCTGGCTGGGAGAGCCAGGGTGAGGGATGGGCCCCTTGGGTGCTTGAAGCTGGCAGTGAGGTCTGGGGAGTGGGAGAGGGGCAGATGTTGGTGTTGGTGTATGGGCACTGGAGCAGCCCAGCATGGACAGGCTCCAAGTGAGTTCCTAAATGCCCTGTGAAAAATCCATGTGCACCCAACCCCTCTAGTGCTGCTGCTCACGCTGGTCCAAACCCCCCTTGTAGGTATTTAACCCTCTTGGGGGAGTGGGGAGACAAAGAAATGTTTTGCTGAAAACCTGCTTTAATTTTTCCTGAGAGGGAAAAAGATTCCCAAGCGTATTGTGGCTCCAGTTCCTTCATCTGCCCATTCCCTGGGGCTGCAGTTGCTGTTCATGTCTAGGGCGGGGATGAGGGAAGCACATCATCTTGCTCCAAAAGTAATTAAAGTCAGGGATAATTTTTCTGGAGGAGGGTGGAACCCTGGGAAGGCGACAGCAATGCGTCTGGGACCGAGCACATCAGAAGCTGCTTTTTATTGTGGCTGCTGAGCTAAATATATCCACAGAGGCACAGAGCAGTTCCCATGCGTCTGCTGCGTGGGGTGAGGGGTGCAGGGGTGCTTGGCACTGCCTGCCCTGCCCGGGGCACCCTGTACCCCCAAACACAGCCCAGGGCCCTCCTGGGCTTTGCTCCTGGGTGGGTGAGCATCACAGACTCATGCATGAAGCTGTGTCAGGGCAGGTTTGGGTTGGAGCTCAGGGAAAGGTTCTTCCCCCAGAGGTGCTGGCACTGCCCAGGCTCCCAGGGAATGGGCACAGCCCCGAGGCTGCCAGAGCTGCAGGAGGGTTTGGACAGCACTGCCAGAGATGCCCAGAGTGGGATTTGGGGTGTCTGGCAGGGCAGGGGTTGGACTGGGTGATCCTGGTGGGTCCCTTCCAGCCCAGGAGATTCCTGATTGTGAGTCCCAGTGCGCACGGCCGCTGCTCAGGTCTCGGCGTGGCTTGCCAGGGATGTGGTTTGAAGGAATTAATAGCTGTGTTTATGGAGCACCCGGGGACGGAGCTGTGCACTCATTAGCACTAATGAGAGCATTCTGCATGGCGCTTGGCTCCAGCTCCTTTCTCCATGAGTCCCCTGGGAGCCCCCGGCTTCCTGCAGCCGCTGCATGCAGCACAGGCAGAGCTGTGCAGCCCTGCAGCACAGGCAGATCTGTGCAGCCCTGCAGAGCAGCAGAGCAACAGTGTCTGTGCAGCCATGCAGAGCAGCAGTGCCTCTGCAGCCCTGCAGAGGAGCAGTGCCCGTGCAGCCATGCAGAGCAGCAGAGCCTGTACAGCCATGCAGAGCTGCAGTGCCTGTGCAGCCATGCAGAGCAGCAGTGTCTGTGCAGCCCTGCAGAGCAGCAGTGCCTGTACAGCCATGCAGAGCTGCAGTGCCTGTGCAGCCATGCAGAGCAGCAGTGTCTGTGCAGCCCTGCAGAGCAGCAGTGCCCATGCAGCCATGCAGAGCAGCAGTGCCTGTACAGCCATGCAGAGCAGCAGTGCCTGTGCAGTCCTGCAGAGGAGCAGTGCCCGTGCAGTCCTGCAGAGGAGCAGTGCTCGTGCAGTCCTGCAGAGCAGCAGTGTCTGTGCAGTCCTGCAGAGGAGCAGTGTCTGTGCAGCCCTGCAGAGCAGCAGAGCAACAGTGCCTGTGCAGCCCTGCAGAGCAGCAGTGCCCGTGCAGCCCTGCAGAGGAGCAGTGCTCGTGCAGCCATGCAGAGGAGCAGTGCCTGTGCAGCCATGCAGAGGAGCAGTGCCTGTACAGCCATGCAGAGCTGCAGTGCCTGTGCAGCCATGCAGAGCAACAGTGCCTGTGCAGCCCTGCAGAGGAGCAGTGCCCGTGCAGCCCTGCAGAGGAGCAGTGTCTGTGCAGCCATGCAGAGGAGCAGTGCCCATGCAGCCATGCAGAGGAGCAGTGCCTGTACAGCCATGCAGAGCAGCAGTGCCCGTGCAGTCCTGCAGAGCAGCAGTACCCATGCAGCCATGCAGAGCAGCAGTGCCCGTGCAGCCCTGCAGAGGAGCAGTGTCTGTGCAGCCATGCAGAGCAGCAGTGCCCATGCAGCCATGCAGAGGAGCAGTGCCTGTACAGCCATGCAGAGCAGCAGTGCCCGTGCAGCCCTGCAGAGCTGCAGTGCCCGTGCAGTCCTGCAGAGCAGCAGTGCTCGTGCAGCCATGCAGAGCAGCAATGCCTGTGCAGCCATGCAGAGCAGCAGTGCCCGTGCAGCCCTGCAGAGGAGCAGTGCCTGTGCAGCCATGCAGAGCAGCAGTGCCTGTGCAGCCATGCAGAGGAGCAGTGCCTGTACAGCCATGCAGAGCAGCAGTGCCCATGCAGCCATGCAGAGCAGCAGTGCCTGTGCAGTTCCAGCCACTCTGCTCCCACACGTCCCAGGCAGGGCTGCGTGCAGTGGGTGGGATGTGATGGGTGGGTCAGGCTCTGCCCGGGCCAGGAGCCGGCTCAGCCTCGCCTGTCCCGGTCCCATCGGGAGTCCGTGGCTGGGGACAGCTTTTGGGCTGGGTGGTGCTTTGCTTCAAACGGTGAGGACTGTCTTGTGGTGGTTTTGCATGTTGCATTTCAAGCCTTTGTAGCTGCGGTTTGATGTGTTTGTGTAGTTTGATGTGTCTGTGTCGGGGGTGAGTGGGGCTGTGCTGGCCTGGCTGCCCGGCTCTGCCCCGTCCCTGCTGGGGCTGATCTGGTGCCACAGCCCCTGTCCGTGCCCAGCCCTGCCAGGGGCAGTGGGTGAATGAGCCAGAGCTTAGTGAGGGGCTGGTGGGCCGGGGGCACTTCCAGGTGCAGGCTCTTTGTGCCCAGCCCTGCCTGTCAGCTCATTCATGGAGGTGCCTGGTGGTATTTCTGGGATGTGTCACCCTCTCTTCTCAGCTGCAAACAGGTCAGGGTTATGGCTGGCTGCAGCATCCCCTGCCCTGTGTGCTCTGTGCTACAGGCAGAGGTGCTGCCCGTCCCCTGCCTCCATGAGCCACGTTTCCAGCAGGAGTTGTAGAATGTCCTGAGCTGGAAGGGACCCACAGGGTCCAGCTCCTGGTTCTGTGCAGGACACCCCAGCAATCCCACCCTGTGCATCCCTGAGAGCATTGTCCAAACATTCCTGGAGCTTTGGCAGCCTCCGGGCCGTGCCCATTCCCTGGGGAGCCTGGGCAGTGCCAGCACCTCTGGGGGAAGAACCTTTCCTGATCTCCAGCCTGACCCTCACCTGGCACAGCCCCAGCTGTTGCATTGGGTCCTGTCCCTGTCCCAGAGAGCAGAGATCAGAGCTGCTCCTTGTGAGGAAGCTGCAGACTTCCATAGGTCTGACTTCAGGCTGCTTTTGTCCAGTCTGAGCAAGCCAAGTGACCTCAGCTGCTTCTCACAGGGTTCCTCAAGGCCCTTCACCATTCTTATGTCCCCTCTCTGGACACTCCCAATATCTTTCTGTCCTTCTTACGCTGTGGTGCCCCAAACTGACACAGCACTCTGCCCCAGTGCAGAGCAGTGGGGAGCAGGCTTTTCCCTCCGGTTGTGCTGGACTGGGCACACTCTAGGACATGGATCACAGGATGGGCTGTGCTCTCCTCCTCAGGACCAGCCTGGTGTCCCTCAAGCCTGTGCTGCCCTCAGCCTGCTTCTCTTCCCACAGGATCCGTCCGCAGCTGCCCAAGGAGAAGATAGAGGGGTGCCACATCTGTACCTCGGTGACACCTGGCGAGCCCCAGGTGCTGCTGGGCAAGGACAAGGCCTTCACCTATGACTTTGTCTTTGACCTGGACACGTGGCAGGAGCGGATCTACACGACGTGCATGGGGAAGCTCATCGAGGGCTGCTTCGAGGGCTACAATGCCACTGTGCTGGCCTACGGGCAGGTACGGGCTCTGCCCTCAGCACTGGGCTCTCCAGGGGTGCTGCAGGGGCACCTGGGGCATTAGGGAAGGTGGAGGGTGTCTGAGAACCTGGTATGGAGAGAACAGAGCTGTCCCTGGTTGGGTGAGAGCTGGGGGCAGGGGTGGCAGGGCTGGGAGCGTGGCACTGGGGTTCGCAGTGGCTTCGCAGGGACATCTGGGGAGCCTAAAGCAGCAGAGGGGAAATGCAGGGTGCATTGGGCAGAGCTGAGCCTGGGAGGGCCCAGCCAGCTCCCCCCCTGTCTCTGCACAGACTGGAGCAGGGAAGACCTACACCATGGGCACTGGCTTCGACATGAGCACCTCGGAGGAGGAGCAGGGCATCATCCCCCGGGCCATCAGCCACCTCTTCAGCGGCATCGAGGAGCGCAGGCGAGCGGCCCAGAGCCAGGGCCTGGCAGCGCCCGAGTTCAAAGTCAGCGCCCAGTTCCTGGAGGTGGGTGGGTGATGGCAGCTCTGGGGGACACCATGGCTCTGCCCTGTCCCTGCTCCCGTGCCTTGAGCTGTTCCAGATCTCCTGGCTGGCTCCTGGCAGAGCTGGACCCTGTGACAGGCTGGGGCTGGGATGTGTGCTGGTGCACTGGGGACTCCTACATGGCTGCACACTGGGTGGAGGGAGCTCCCACAATGGGGAAGGGCTTTATGGCTTGGTGCCCTGGGGATCCAGGGGCTCTGGGCTGTCTCATCCTTGTTTGAGGTCAAGGATAGCCCACGGCCTTGGACCAGAGCTCCCAGTTAAACAGGAGCAGAAGAAAGTGCCACTCTGGGGAGGGGGTTGGGGAAGGACTGTGCTATTTCCCATGACCTTTGTTGCATCTCTGACCTTGAGAACGAATCCTCTCTTGCCTCTGCCCAGGCTTCTCCTAGTCAAAACCTCTTCTATTAACTGCTTCATTCCCTGGAGAAGTTTGTCCTGGGAAGCCCATGGACCTCATGTGTTGGCAGCGTTTTTCCTGGAGGTTGCTCCTGGGCTGAAAGAGCAAAGAGGTGCAAGTGGGAAGTGTTTTAAGGCCCCAGTGAGAAAGCACAGGGTGGTGCTGAGCAAAGCTGAGCTCCCAAGCAAGCTTCATCTGGTTGAGGCTGTGACCCGGGATGCACCCAGAGGAGATGGGCAGGGAAGGGCCCTGTGCTGTGATCTTGCCTCCTGGTGGCTTTGTTGGCCATCGCATCTGGGTGTCTGCTGGTGGCTTGGAGAGGGCCCAAAGTCACTTCCTGGCTGGAGAAATCCTTCCCACTTATGTCTCCATCTGCAGAGTCCCTGTGGTGCTGTTTGTCCTCCCATTCCCATCTCGTGGCCTGTCCAAGTCCTGGTTGCCTGCCCAGTTGTGCTCAGTTTGTGGGGCTTCTCTTTAGGGATCCTTTGTGCTGGGATGGAAATGGGGACAATTTCCTGCCTGTCCTGAAATCCTGCGTGGCTAAAGCAGCTCATGGCCACATCAGGCACCAGTCACCAACCCTGCTGTCCTGGCAGGGGCACAGGATTTGTTCTGGCTGATCCCAGTCTTGTGACTTTGCTCCTGGGAGCAGGTTTAAACCTTTGAGGAGCCTGGTGGCACCAGGGGCAGCCAGGGATGGATTAGTCTGATCCCTTGTGCTGGCCAGGAACTGCAATCCTTGGGTGACCCAGCCCTCTGCACTGGCATGTGGGTGCAAGAGGTGACATTGAATGGTGGCAGCAGGGGACAGATGGGCAGGGGTGTCCCTCCACCCCAAGCTGAGAGGGGACTGCAGGGTTAGGATGTGGATGGAGTCAGCTCTGGGGCAGCAGGGCTTTCCTGCTTGTTCAGCACTCCCTGGGCCCCCTTATCCCCTGTACACCCAACAGAGGTGACCTTGAGCTGTGATGAGAGTGGAATTTCACTGGCTTGTGTGGCCGGGTGAGCCAGGAGGGTCAGGGGGATTTGTAGCTCCTGGGTGTCTGCTCAGTGTTTGTGTGCACCAGGAACTGGACAGCTTTGGGCAGCAGAAACCCACCCAGACTGCAGCTCAGAGCTTTGCATGGCAAGCTCTGGAGCAGCAGTGTGACGAGGAGTGGCTGAGGGAACTGGGGGGCTCAGCCTGGAGAAGAGGAGGCTCAGGGGGACCTTTTTTCTCTACAACTTCCTGACAGGAAGGTGGGGCCAGATGGGGGTCGAGCTCTACTCACAGGGACAAGGAACAGGAAGAAACAGCCTCAGATTGTGCCAGTTGAGGTTTAGATTGGATATTAGGAAAAATTTCTTCCCTGAAGTTGTGGTCTGGCATTGTCACAGGCTGCCCAGGGCAGAGGGGGAGTCACCATCCCTGGAAGTGGTCAGAAGATGTGTGGGTGTGGCACTTGAGGACATGGTTTAGTGGTGAACATGGCAGTGCTGGCATAAATGGTTGGATTTGATTATCTTAGAGGGCTTTTCCAGTCTGAAGGATTCCATGATCCTGTGCTTGTGCCTCCTCTCCTGCACATGCACACACCCCAGCTCCCCTGCTCAGCCTTGCAGCTGCTGTGAGCACACCCAGCCATGGGGGAGAGGCAGCAGGGTGCCAGAGGGCAGCTCCTGCCAGTCCTGCAGTGCCAGCTTGAGCAGCCTTGTGCTTCCTCTGCTCTCCCCACACCCTCTGCTGCCCCGCTCAGCTCTACAACGAGGAGATCCTGGACCTGTTCGACAGCACCCGCGACCCCGACGCGCGCCACCGCAAATCCAACATCAAAATCCACGAGGATGCCAGTGGGAGCATCTACACCACGGGGGTCACGTCACGCCTCATCAGCTCACAGGATGAGGTGGGTGCAGGATGGGGCAGACACAGGGCAGGGGTGGCAGCTGGGTGCCACTGGCCAGGGATGTGCGATGTGGGGACAGCTTGGTGGGGGAGAGCTCTCCCAGGATGGGAGTGCAGTGCTGGGGTGTTCTGGAAAAGGTCAGTGTGTCCACTGAGCTGCACAGGGTCTGTCCTGACTCCCCAGAAGGGGACTTTAAGGTTTCCTTCCTTGCCTGGTGTCGTTGCAGCTGATCCAGTGCCTGAAACAAGGAGCTCTTTCCCGCACCACGGCCAGCACCCAGATGAACGTGCAGAGCTCCCGATCCCATGCCATCTTCACTATTCACCTGTGCCAGACGAGAGTGTGTGCCCGCCCAGAGCTGGTGAGATGTGGTCCTGCCTCGTGGCAGGTTCTTGGGATCCATACCCAGGGGATGCATGAAGTTCCCTTGGGAAGGAGAGAGGGTTTGAAGTGTGGCAAAGGGGAGCAGGGATTTTTCTGTCTTCTTTCCAGTCATGGCCCGCATCAGGATTTAATGGGGCTGAGGGTGAGCTGATCCAAGGCAGGATGGCTCAGAGCAAGCTGCTCTTGGGATGCTGTCCCCATCTCTGGGGGGCTGGATACGGAGGGTGAATGCTCCGACTCTGGGAGCCTCTGCCTGCTCCAGTCTGGGGCGGTGACCCCTCGTGTGTCCTGGCTGCAGGTGAATGAGGAGGTGAGCAGCCTTCTGGATGGATCCCAACCGGCTGCTGAGTACGAGACCTTGACAGCCAAGTTTCACTTTGTGGACCTGGCTGGCTCGGAGAGGCTGAAGCGCACGGGTGCCACTGGCGAGAGAGCGAAGGAGGGGATCTCCATCAACTGCGGGCTGGTAGGGCACTGGGCTGTGCTGGGCAGGGGGACTGGCAAGGCAAGGCCTGCCAGGGGAAGCCTGGGACACTTCTGGCTGTTGCTTGGAGCTGCCCTGGGCTGTCGGGGTGCTGCTGTCGTGGCTGTGCCTGATGGCAAGAACATGCACAGTGCCAGTGGTGGGAGCGCAGCTCTGCTCTCAAAGGACAGCACAGCTCTGCTGCCAAAGGAGACTCATGCTGTGGGGAGGGGTGCAGCTCCCAAAAGGGTGAGATCTGCTAATCAGAGCTAAGAAACCCGCTCTGGGGCTTGATGCTGCTTCTCAGTGCAGCATGGAGAGAGGCAGAGCCCAGGCTAAGGGAAGCCCCACGCCTGCGCCTTGTGCAACCCAAAGCTGTGCTACAGGGCGTGCCCCAGGCCTGATGTGCTGGCTGCATGGCAGCTGCACCCTCAGCCAGGGTTGAACATGGGGGGGCTTCCCTTTGTGTTGGTAGCTGGCCTTGGGGAATGTCATCAGTGCCCTTGGAGACCAGAGCAAGAAGGTCGTGCACGTGCCCTACCGCGACTCCAAGCTCACCCGCCTGCTGCAGGATTCCCTCGGGGGCAACAGGTAAGGGGGCTGAGCCTGGGCTGAGGGCTGCAGGGCTGGGCCCCCCCAGATGGAGCTAAGGGGGCTCTGGAGCTATGCAGGAGCTGTCTCAGGGCTCCAGTGGCTGCCTGGTGAGGAGGAGATGCCTTCTTCCAGGCACGGCATGATTTTACAGATGTAAAGGCTGTGGTTCCTCATCAGCCTCAGGTGCAATTAGCAGCTTTGGCAGAATCAGCTGATGCAAAACCTTCCTGAGCCCTCACAGATCTGGGACTTGGCAAATGATGGTGCCCAGCATGGGATTGAATTCCCTGCCTCTTCTCCAAAGAGGGAGGCACTGAGGAAGGGCTGCCTTTGCTCAGTGCTGTGTGATGTGCTTGAGGGGTCTCGTGGGTGCTCTGGGAGGGATGAACCCAGTTCATACCTTGTTTTAAAACCCACAAGGGCCCAGGATGGGCCTCCATCCAGGATGGGTGTCTGGGGCGCCTGGTCTGTGTTGAGAGCTGAGTTTCCACCTGCTGGGCTGCTGAGCTGTGCAGGGACTGTCTTTCACCCTGCCCTTGCCTCCCCAAGCCAAACCATCATGATTGCCTGCGTGAGCCCCTCGGACCGGGATTTCATGGAGACCCTGAACACGCTCAAGTACGCCAACCGGGCCCGCAACATCAAGAACAAGGTGGTGGTGAACCAGGACAAGACGAGCCAGCAGATCAGCGCCCTGCGGGCCGAGATCGCCCGGCTGCAGATGGAGCTGATGGAGTACAAGGCCGTGAGTGCTGCCACGTCCTGTGGGACCCAGCAAGGAAGGGAGCCACATGCAGCCAGTTGTTCACTGCCCCCCAGTGGGATGGGGGAGAGAGCTGGAGAGCAACACTGAGAAAACTCCTTGGTTTGGATGCAGTTTAAGAAGTAAAGCAAACCAAGGAACTCATTCCCATCGCAGGGAGGTGTTCAGCCATTCCCAGCCCAGCAGAGCTCTGTCAAGGGTAACAGTGACTTGGGACAACACTCCAGTCATGCCTGTTTCTTCTTCTTTCCCCCAGCTTTATGTGCTGAGCATGGCATGACATAGTCTGGGATATCCCTGTGGTCAGTGGGGGACAGCTGTCCTGGCTGTGTCCCCCCAGCTCCCTGTGCATCCCTGGCCCAATGTTGGTGGGTCAGGGTGAGGGGTAGAACAGCTCCTCACTCAGCAGGAGCTAAATCATCCCTGTGGGCTCCGTGCTATTCTCAGCACAGACCCCAGCACAACATGACACAAAAGCTGCTGTGAGGAAAATGAACTCCACCAAAGGCAAACCCAGCTGATGGAGCAGACCTGGTGAGGGGGCAGAGACAGGTGCAGAAGGCCCCCTCCTTGTGTTTGAATTGGGGCAGGTTTAGTGGGACAGAGCCTCCTGCCTCCCATCCCCTGCCCTAGGAGGAGTCAGGAGGTTTCAGATACAGGGTCTCAGCTCCTGCCTGTCAAGGGAGGACCTTGGCCAGGTTTTGGGGGTGGTAAGGCAGGGAGAGGCCCTGAAGCATCTCTCACCCTCTGCATGTTCAGCTCAGGCTTTCCTGGTCCCTAGCTTTGTCCCTGCTCTCTGTTGGGGTTGCCCCGGGGGTGCAGTGGTGGTGTCTGTGTCCCAGCCTGCCCAGCACTCAGGGGCTCCCCTGCTGTGCCCGCAGGGCAAGCGGGTGATCGGGGAGGATGGCACGGAGGGCTACAGCGACCTGTTCCGGGAGAACGCCATGCTGCAGAAGGAGAACAGCGCCCTGCGCATGCGCGTCAAGGCCATGCAGGAGGCCATCGACGCCATCAACAGCAGGGTCACCTACCTCATGAGCCAGGAGGCCAACCTGATGCTGGCCAAAGCAGGTGAGGCTGGGCTGGTGGGTGCCGTGGTGGGCCAGCCCGGGCAGCAGCTGGCACGGGGCTGCGGTGCAGCAGCGTGTGCCTCTCTCCACCGCTGCCTCTGCGCTGCAGGTGACGGCAACGAAGCCATCGGCGCCCTCATCCAGAACTACATCCGGGAGATTGAGGAGCTGAGGTGAGTGGGCACACAGCTGGGGCCTCTCTGGGCTCCTGGGGCCGGGCTCTGAGGCTGGGTGGCTCACACAGCTCAGTGACTCCAGCCCTGCTGGGGTGGACTGCAAGCCTTGTGGAACAGCAGCTGGTGGCACTGCTGCTACACAGGGCTGAAGGAGGCCCAGCCTTGGTGCCAGGTGGTGCTTTGGCTATTGTTGTGCTTGGTGTGGGCATTGATGGAGGGGGAAGTTCTATCTGAAGTGCCTGGGGTCTTCCAGGGACTGCTGCCTCCCAAAGATGGGTCCATCCCAGTCTCTTGCTCGATCCTGGTACTTTGGCAGCATTGTGGCTTTCTGACCCATCATTAGCAGTAATGGCTTAGTAGTGACTCTGTCCCTGGCTCACACCATCTGGACACATCATGTTCAGTCTGTAGAAGACTGGGGAGACCCTAGAGCCCCTTCCACTGCCTAAAGGAGACTTATAAGAAAGAGGGAGAGTGCTGGATTTTATTTTTATGTGGACAGATAGCAATACGACAAGGGAAGATGGCTTTAAACTAAAAGTAGAGAGATTTAAATTAGAAGTTAGGAAGAAATTCTTCCCTGTGAGAGTGGTGAGGCAGTGGCACAGTTTGCCCAAAGCAGCTGTGTTTATCCCATATCTGTGAATGTATGGAGCTTGGAGCAACCTGGTCTAGTGGAAGGTGTCCCTGCCCCTTCCATGGCAGGAATGTGGAATGAGATGAGGTTTAAGGTCCCTTCCAGCCCAAACCATTCTGTGATTCTAAACCCAGGCAAGACCCCCGCCGCAGGGCCAGTGGGATGGCTGCTCTTTGACCGTGCTGTTTCCACTCCCCAGGACAAAGCTCCTGGAGAGCGAGTCCATGAACGAGTCCCTGCGCCGCAGCCTCTCGCGGGTCTCTGCCCGGCCCCCCTACCCCGTGGGCTCCTCGCCCGCTGGCCTGGCCGGGCTGTGCAGCCCCGCTGCCCCCCTGGACACCGAGGCCTCCGACGTCCTCCGGCGGGCCAAGCAGGACCTGGAGCGCCTGAAGAAGAAAGAGCGGCGGCAGCAGAGGAAGAGGTGAGGGGAGGTGCTGGGAAGGGGGAGGCTGAGTCTGTCCCTGCAGGGTTGGGTCTCCTGCTTCTCCATCTCTGCTATGGCCAGAGCCCGCACGCCCGCGTTCCCCTCCCAGCCCTGCCCTGCCCTCGGTCTCCTTTTCCCCGTCACGTAATTCCAGAGGCTGTTTTCCCCAAAGGGCCCAAGAGCAGGAGGGAGGGTGGCTCAGCAGAACCTGTTTCTGGCCTCTCTCATGCTGGGACTCACCAGCCCCACTCTGTTCCCCCAGCCCAGAGAAGGAGGCGTTTAAGAAGCGGCAGAAACTGCAGCAGGACAATGGGGAGGAGACCGATGAGAACGAGGTGGAAGAGGTGAGTGGGTGTCAAGGACCAAGCTCGGGCTGGAAGGGGCATTTTGCTGAGGACTCCATGCTGGAGCAGGGCAGAAGCTGGATACTCCCCAGTCAGCCTGGATGTAGAATGAGGAGTCCACATTTTTGGGGGCTTGCTTTCAATCAGCGTAAGATGAAGTGGGGTCAGCTGGGAAGGGATGGATGGGTCACATTGCTGTTCCTCTCAACAGGATGTGCTGGGGGTCCAGAAATGGTGCTGCAGCCCCTGGGATCCCGTGTGGGAGGCTGAGTCCCACCTGGGGGGCTGTGGCCCATTGCTGTAGGGTGAGCTCAGGTTTGGAGGAGGGAGAAGCTGTGGGGAGAAGGACAGACCATCCTGCTGGCTGAGATTAGGCACTCATCTCTTAGGAGGAGGAAGAACAGGATGAGAGTGGCTGTGAGGAAGAGGATGGGCGCGAGGATGAAGACGAGGATTCGGGCAGTGAAGAGAGCCTGGTGGACTCAGACTCGGATGCAGAGGAGAAGGGTAAAGTGGAATCTGTGTGCAGCCATGGGCATGGAGGGGCACGGCTGGTATCTCTGGCAGGGAACTCTGCGTGCCCCAACCATGTCTGCTCTGTGGGACTTGGAAGAGCCCCAGGGCTGCTGCAGTGCTCTTTGGGTGCTACTGCTCCCCAGCAATGTGGGCTCCCATCAGCTCCTCTGCCCTCTCCATGTGCTGTGACCCAGTGGGGCCATGGAAGTGATGCTCCACATGCCTCCCAGCCTGACTTTCTCCTCTGCCTCCAGCTGTGAATTTCCAGGCTGACCTGGCAGATCTGACCTGTGAGATTGAGATCAAGCAGAAGCTGATTGATGAACTGGAGAACAGCCAGCGGCGTTTGCAGACCCTCAAGCACCAGTATGAGGAGAAGCTGATCCTACTGCAGAACAAGATTCGGGACACACAGCTGGAGCGGGACCGGGTCCTGCAAAACCTCAGTGAGAACTGCCTCACCCATGGGATCCCATTCTGACAGCCTCAGACCCCAGTTCCAGCTCAAGCCCAGCTCACTCTAAGTCAAAGCATCCACCCCTTGGTCTGGTAGAGCTTTGTTATCCCCCTGCTTCTCCTTGAATCCCTGGCACCCCCAAGACTCTCCTTGTCTTGCCATGGGAGCATCAGTCAGCTGCACAGCTCTGGACTCTGCTGGTGCTGGAGAAGGGGGGTGAGGCAAAGTCTATTCCAGCCTTGAGCACCACTTCATGAGCTGGGGGGACTCCTGGGGAAACTGAGGGGCGAAACACCCAGTGGTGGGGCTGATCTCCAGGCTTAAAGAGGGCAGGGTCACCCATCTATGTGGCTGTGTGTCCCAGTCTGCAGCTCTGCTCAGGCCAGCCACTGCATCTCCACTCTGTGCTCAGCTCTTCCAGCGGGTATTCCCAGACAGGCCCCAGTTCACCATGGGGTGAGGGGGGCTCTGGTGGGACGGGGAGGGACACAGTGCTTGGTGCCTCCAGGCAGGGGTGTGGGTACAGGAGGATCTGGGGCTGCATGGCCATTGCGAGCTCTCCCCACCCACCAGGCACCATGGAGTGCTACACAGAGGAGAAAGCCAACAAGATCAAGGCAGACTACGAGAAGCGGCTGAAGGAGATGAACCGGGACCTGCAGAAGCTGCAGGCAGCCCAGAAGGAGCACGCCCGCCTGCTCAAGAACCAGTCTCGCTACGAGCGGGAGCTGCGCAAGCTGCAGGCAGAAGTGGCCGAGATGAAGAAGGCAAAGGTACCCGGACGTGCCAGGGCAGGGAGGAATCACCTGGACAAGCCCTGCTCCCCTCTTGGAGCAGTGCCTTGCACTCTGGTGGCCAGCGCAGAGCTGCTGTGTGCTGGTGGGTGGGTGCCTGGGGCAGAGGCACAGCGGCCCCTCCTCGCAGGTGGCACTGATGAAGCAGATGCGGGAGGAGCAGCAGCGGCGGCGGCTGGCGGAGACCAAGAGGAACCGGGAGATCGCGCAGCTCAAGAAGGAGCAGCGCCGGCAGGAGGTGAGAGCCTGGCTTGTGCCACACGGCCCCGTGCAGGGGGCTGGTCTGCCCGGGGAGGTGGGCTTTGTCCTGCTCTGGCACGTCGCTGTCGAGGCAGGACGGGAATGAGAAGACTGACTCAGAAGGCTGCTGAGAGTAAAACTCAGTTTATTCAAAATACACCACTCTTTATACAGAGCTTTGTGAAGACCAAATCCATCGGTCCCGAAGTGAAAACAACCCACAGCATTGTTGCAAAGTGCTTGACACACAGTGATAGAGCTTAACTATAAACAGTGTGAACAACAAGAGAGATAAAGAATTACTTACATTCTTCTCCAGCTCTTTCCCAGGCTGCTGCCTGGCTAGAAACTCTCAGTTTCTCTCTTTGACTGAATCTGAGACCCACACTGGCACTCCAGGTGATCACATATACCTGGAAGCTTGGTGGAGCCTTGCCGGAGGTCCTAGCAGAGCACAGCTGGATGAACGCTCCTGAAGGCTTCCCGCTGCTCCTGCTGGAGTTGTGGGATGCTGTAGGAATGGGGAATGTGCAGCCAGAGCCAGCTCAAGGCTGGGAGTCTGTTCGTTGTTAGAACTGAGAGTGAGACTATGCCAAAGGGAGCACTGGGACTGCGAGCATGTCCGGGCTGGACCTCAAGGGTGTCTTTTTCTTTCTCACTTGTGCAGTTCCAAATCAGGGCTCTGGAATCTCAGAAGCGACAGCAGGAAATAGTGCTGCGGAGGAAAACCCAGGAGGTGAGGAAAGGGGGTTCCTCCACATAGCCCCCAGCTTCCATGGAGGTCTGGGCCCCCAGTGTTTGGCTTGGAGAAATCCCATCTTTTAGACAGGGCTGGCTTTGGGAATGGGGTCCCCAAAAAGCAGGGAGAGGTTTTATGGCTCAGGAACTGGGTGGGAAGTGGATGTAGGCAGCAGTAGAGTTCCCCATCCCGAGCAGCAGAGCCTGGTGACAGGGGTGGGCTATGAGGGAGGAGAGGGAACTCCATGAGTCCTGGGCTTTGGGTCTGTGCAGCTGCTGCTGTCAGACCTGTGGGGACCTGGGGGTGATGCCAGTGGGTTTAGGCTGGGTGGGGCTGCCCAGCTGACACCTTCTCTTCTGTCCTTCCTCCGGGCAGGTGTCAGCACTGCGCCGTCTAGCCAAGCCCATGTCAGACCGGGTGGCAGGCAGGATGAGCCAGAAGCCGCCCATGATGGACTCGGGCGCCGAGGTCTCGGCCAGCACCACCTCCTCCGAGCCCGAGTCTGGCGCTCGCTCCGTCTCCAGCATTGTGCGCCAGTGGAACAGGAAAATCAACAACTTCCTGGGAGACCCCTCGTCCTCCATTAATGGGGCTCGGCCTGCCAGGTCAGGGCAGGGGCTGGGTGGTGGGGGGTGAGACATCCCTGGGAGCCCCGTGCCTGGCTTTTGGCTGGTGCTGGAGGTTGAAGGGTAGCTTAGTGGCTGCTTAGTGCCCACTTGAGCCATATTAAACCAGTGACCCAGTGATAAGCTGTGCTGGCAGAGTGTGACTGTCACTTGGGCTTGAGCTCAAAGCTGGTCTTCCATGAGGATTAAATGTTGTGGCACAAACCCTGCTGGACTCCTCTCTTGTCCCGCTTTGCCAGGAGGAAAAGTTGGGCAATGCGGAAACAACACAGATGAATCCTCTGTTTCTGGCCAGCCAGATCCCAGATCCTGGGGCAAGCCTGGCCCTCCAGCACGGTGTGGCCATCTGCCCATATGCGTCCTCTTCCCTCTGGCTGTAGGAAGAAGTTCCCCAAGAAGGGGACGAGCCAGACCTTCAGCAAAGCTGCCCGCCTCAAGTGGCAGTCCCTGGAGCGGCGCATCTTCGACATTGTCATGCAGAGAATGACCATCGTCAACCTAGAGGCAGACATGGAGAGGCTCATCAAGGTGGCTGTAGCACTGGGGACAGAGAGGGCTGGGTGGTGGGTGCAGGACAGGGAGGTGGCCATGTGGACAGTGCTAATCCCCCTTCCCTTTTCCCCCAGAAACGTGAGGAGCTATCACTGCTGCAGGAGGCATTGCTGGGCAAGCGGGCAAAGCTGCAGGCAGAGAGCCCCAAGGAGCAGAAGGGTCTACAAGAGCTGAACGAGGAAATTGAGGTGCTGGGGGCCAACATTGACTATATCAACGACAGCATTTCAGACTGCCAGGCCACCATCATGCAGATTGAGGAGACCAAGGTGGGCAGTAGGACTGGATCTGGCTAGCAGGGAGAAAATGAGAGCATCCCTCTGTGGAAAGAACATCCTTGGGCACAGCCAGCTGGGGCTGGGCTCTGCTCAGAGGACCCAGAGTCCTTTGAACTGTCACTCTTGCTGGGGCTTCACCCACACAGCCTCTTCTCATTAGGTGATTAATAACAGAGAGGAGTTGCATGTCCATGGACATACTGGTGTCCTGCTGCCCTGGAATTGTAGGGAGCCTGCGACTCCCATTTGCCCATGGGGACACATGGGGCTGGTGGTCACTTGTACCCATGTTTGTTGCTTCATGCACTGGAAACATCCTAGGAGGACTAGGATGGAAACATCCTAAGTTTCCCAGCAGAAACCATCTAGGTTTTGTGTCCAGTTGTGATATTGGGCATGCCACTGGGCAGCTCCAGACTTGCCTGAATGCCTGCAGCCTGGAATGGAGGCTGTGTGCTGTCCCTGGCTTGTCCCCAGCTGTCACCTTGATTAGCAGGGAAGAAGGGCTGCTGTTAATTCACCCTAGGCTTTGTGTTGTGCATTTGGGTGAGCCTGGTGTCTGTTCAGTATCTAGTTTTGTGTTGGAACCAGAATCTCTGTAGCAGTGCATAAGTCCTTCAGCACTGGACAGTCCCATGGCCAGATCTTCCCCAGAGCCACTGGGCAGACTGGGGAGGTGAGGGTTGCACTGGCACTGCTTGCAGGGTGATGGAAGTTCTGTGCTTGCCATGGAGGTCCTTCCAGCCATCCCACGTCCAGCAGCAAAGCTACCCTGCTGCATCCAGCCCTTGTCTATCCGTGTTTCAGGAGGAGCTGGACTCCACGGACACCTCGGTGGTGATCAGCTCCTGCTCCCTGGCCGAAGCCCGGCTGCTGCTGGACAACTTCCTGAAAGCCTCCATCGACAAGGTGTGGGGCAGGGCTGGGGTGTGGGTGTGTGGCAGGGTTTCTTGCTGGGTGCCAGGGTGGGGAGCTGGTGGCAGGGACCTGTGGCACCTGCCTGAGTGCCAGCATTTCTCCCGCAGGGGCTGCAGGTGGCCCAGAAGGAGGCGCAGATCCGGCTGCTGGAGGGGCGCCTGCGGCAGACGGACGTGGCCAGCTCCTCGCAGAACCACGCCCTGCTGGACGCCCTGAGGGAGAAGGCAGAGTCGCACCCCGAGCTGCAGGCACTGATCCACAACGTCCAGCAAGGTGGGGCCGCAGGCAGGTGCATCCTCCATCCTCAGGCCAGGTGTGCTGCCGGGGGGGGTGCCCGCCCGTCCTGGCCCTGCAGAAAGCACCTGGAGGTGCTGTGGCTGGGACCCTGCCCCAAGGGCCGTGGTGGGTGGGAGCATGTGCCCTGGCCATGGGTAGCAGGGACAAGGGCTGGGTCACCCCCACACCTTCCTGGGCTCTGCTGTGGGGTTGGGTGGGGCTGGTGGCACTGGGGTCCCCTCTGCTGATGCTCTGTCTCCCTCTCGCAGAGAACGGCTACACCAGCACGGACGAGGAGGTTTCAGAGTTCAGCCTGGCCTCGGATGGGAGGTGAGCAGCCAGCCTGGCACTGCCTGAGGTGGTGGTGGCTGGGGCACAATGCCTGATGCCATTCATGGACTCATAGAGGGGCATGGATGAACAAAGCCCCACCTGAGCTTTTCTTTGGTGCCCAACCCTTGGTGGAGGGAGCAGGATGTCTCTTGGACACGAGCAGGGAGGAAAGGCTTGGTCATTCCTTGGAGAAGGGGTGCTGGGGAGCAGGGGGTGACTCAAGGAGTCTGGTGGACCAGTGGCACCAGCTTTCTGAAGAGAGTTTGGCACTGCAGATCCATCTTTGCTCTTTTCTCCTTGCAGCATCTCCCAGTCTTTCACCATGAAGGGTTCAGCAAGCCAGGATGACTTCAAGTTCAAGGTTAGTTGGCCTTTCTGTGTGGCCTGGTCACAGAGATGGGGAGGAGGGATGGAGGGATGTTCAGTGATGCTTGAGGCCTCTACTCTGCAGTCTGAACCTTGGGGAGCCAGGCTTGGCATCAGGCAGTATGCCTGCTCTCTGGATGGGCAGAGCCAAGCTCTCCTGGCACAGAGACCTGGGAAACACCCAGCACAGCAGGCGGTACCTTCCAAATCTGAGAAGTGTCCCCGTGGAGGGAAGCAGCCATTGTTCTGTGCAGGCTGTCACGTTTGCTGGAGAGCTGGCTGTGCTGGGCATCCCAGTGGGATGTGGGGGAGCTGCTTTGTGGCCAGAGAGCACAAACTCTTCCAACCCACACTGCTGACTGCTCCCAGTGCCCCCGTGCTGTCCTGAGCCCTCTGCCCTGCTCTAGGGAGAGCCCAAGCTCTCGGGGCAGATGAAGGCAGTGTCAGCTGAGTGTCTGGGACCCACGCTGGACGTCTCCACTAAGAACATCACCAAGTCCTTGGCATCCCTCATGGAGATCAAAGAGGACGGGATCGGCTTCTCCATCCGGGACCCCTATTACAAGGAGAAGGTGTCACGCACCATCAGCCTGCCCACGCGAGGAAGCACCTTGTGAGCGTGGGCCACGAGTGGCTGGGCACTGGGAGGCTCAAGGAGGCATGGGCCTGGCTGGGGGAAGCTGTGCCTGGCCTCTGGAGGCGCAGAGGGGTGAAGGGGAGCCCAGTCCTGCATCTGTCCATGCTTGGCTACAGCATGCCGTGGTGAATTTTCTCAGCGAGGCTTGGAGAGTGTGTAGGAGTATCATGGTGTTGTTTGCAGATGGGGAGGAGGATACTTCAGGAGCAGGGAAAGAAAGGGGGCACGAGGGTCCCCAACTCCCTGCTCTGGGTTATCAGCCTTTTTGGAGGTGTCTTGGGTTGCCAAAAGCCTCTGCACTTGTGGGCTGCCTCAAGATTGTGACTCCAGCCCAATCTCTTGTCTGCTCTGCTGGGGGAGGACAGAGGTGTTCATTGTGGAGGGATCCTCCACGGTGCTGGGGCAGGCACCCACTGTGCTTTGTTCACCTGCTGCAGTCCCAGGCAGTCCCGGGGCTCGGACACTTCTCCTCTGACAAGGCGGAAATCCTATGACCGTGGGCAACCTGCCAGGTGAGCCTGGGAGAAATGGTGACACGGGCAGGGGGGGCTGTGTGGCCCAGGATTCTTTCTGGGCCCAGTCAAGTGCCAGGTGAGCAGTTCCCAAGTCATGTGTCCCTCTGATCCTTTTGGCTCAGGCCTGCAGACATTGGCTTCACTCCACCCTCATCCCCACCCACCCGTCCGCGCAACGACCGCAACGTCTTCTCCCGTCTCACGAGCACCCAGAGCCAGGGATCTGCCTTGGACAAGTAAGTCCTGCTGGGCTGAGAGTGCCTGGGCGAGGGGAACCCAGAGCAGGACAGCACGTGGCATGTACTGAGTCCTCTGGGGTACATAGCAACACCAGGGCTTGGACTGGCTCCAGCCACTGTCCTGTCACCACTGCACCTCCCTGCTTCTCCCTGGGATGGAGCAGCTGCCATGCCAGGGCTGTGCTGCTGCCCACTGTGCCCCCTCTGAGCTCACAGTCCTGGCCTCTGCCCGGAGACAGGGTGGTGCCAGACTTGGAGCCCTGGAAAGACGAGGGAGCAGGATGGGAAAGACGAGATGGGGTGAGGGGATGAGGGCTCAAAGGAAGCTGATGGACTGGCATCCAGCCACAACTGCTGCTCCAGCCTCTCCTGGCAGCAGGTCAGGGGCTGCTCTGGGCTTGCTAGCAGTGCTGGTGTTCCTGATGGAGACCTGCTGTCTGATCCTCACAAGCCTTCCTGCTCTTCTGCTCTCCCCTGGTTCTCCATGTGTGCTTCTCCTTCTCCCTCCCTCCACTCCTTCTCTCTGTCCTACACTGGCTTGGATGCAATAACAATCTTCCACCTCTGACTCCACTGCTTCCTTCTCTAGTCTGGGTTTTCTCTCCCATAATCCTGCTAATTTTCTGCCCCTAGGTCTGATGACAGCGATTCCTCTGTCTCGGAGGTGCTGAGGTATAGACAACTTTCTATTTATTATCCCTTCCTCTGCTCCTCCTTCTCTCTGTCAGGTGCCTGCTCTCCCTGTCCCTGCATGCTCTGCCTGCAGCTTGCTGCTCTCCCCCCATCCCAGCCTGTGTGTCTGTCCCCCCTGGCATGCCACCTCTGGTGCCCGATGCTGTCCCTCAGCTGCAAGATCAACTGCTCCTGCTTGGATTAGCCCTTGGGACGTGGTGCTGGGCTCACTGATGGGTGCTGGCTGCTCTGGGTTGGCAGCATGTTCTCCTCCATCTCTGATGGTTTCCTGCCAGCATGAGGCCACCACGTCCCAGCCCTTCCCCAGCTCTCCAGCAGGATGGTGAGATGGTGGGGAAGGGTGCTTGAAGCACGTGCTTTGTGCAAGCGTCTTCCAGGCAGTTATCTCAGGCTCACCTTGTGCCTGGTTGTGCTTCCCTGGTGCTGAGTTGGAAAAGGTCAGTCTCTTCCCTAGAGAAATCAAGTCAGATTGTGGTGCAGAGCTCAGCCTTGGAGTTAAGGTTCTCCTGGGCTTCTCTCCCTGCATCCACCTCACTGCAGAGCTTCCCCAGAACAAGGGCCACATCTCCCCCATTCTTTAGGAACATTGCAGCCTTCCAGTGCCTAAAGGGGCTTGTAACAAAGAGAGAGAGCAACTTTTTACATGGGCAAATAGTGACAGGTCAAGGGGGAACAGTTTAAAACTGAAAGAGGAGAGATTTGCACTAGGTGTTAGGAAGAAATTCTTCCCTGTGAGGGTGGTGAGGCCCTGGCACAGGATGCCCAGAGCAGCTGTGGCTGCCCCATCCCTGGGAGTGTCCAAGGCCAGGCTGGATGGGGCTTGGAGCCACCTGGGATAGTGGAAGGTGTCCCTGTTCATGGCACAGGCATGGAATGAGATGGTGTCTAAAGGCCCTTCCAACCCAAACCATTCCCTGATCCCATGGTCAGCCGTCCAGCACCCAGGTGTCCCCTCCCTCTGCCTGTGCCCTGAGCTCCTGCAGGCCCCCTGGCACTGGGGAGGTGACTCCAGACCAGTCTGAGCAGGGTCACCCTGGGCACTTTGTAGTCAGGGAGCCACTCAAAGTCCATGGAGGATGCAGTGCAGGGATTTCTCCTTGGTTTCAGTGTTGCTTTGAGGCTGGTGGAAGCACTGGGGGTGAGGGGAAGGCTGTTGGCTTGGCCTTGATAAGTGCAGAGCTGAGGAACATCACATGCATGTGATTTCCAAACCCAAATTAATGAGCCTGTGCTTGTCCTCACGACTAATGCAAACCTTGCCCTTCTCTAGCCCCATGCATCAGTTTCCCTGCCTGTAAGAAGAGACTGGCACAACTCGGGGTCTTGTGGCTGTGCTTGATGACCAGGCACATCGGGGTCACACATGGGAGGGTCAGGCTGGTGGTCCTCAGCACCCTGAGCATGTCTGAAGTGGAGGGGACTGGCAGGTGATGTGTCCCCCAGGACAGCAGTGTTCCCTGGCAGCAGGTGTGGCAGGGGTAGGTGTTCTCCTGCCCAGAGCCAGCAGTGGGTGCAGGAGCAGCCACTGCAGCAGGATGTGGGGTGCAGGTGCTGGTGCTGCCCTTTGTCACCCTTGTGAGCTGTGTAAAGGAGCGAGGCCCTGTCTTCAAATGTCACCAGCCAAAGGGTGACAGCCCCCAAGGGATGGGGGTGCTGATACTGGTACTCTGAAACATTATCCCAGCAGAGCTTCGGCTTCAGGCTGGAGAGGGCACAGTTTGCCCCAAAATGGACCTCAGGGCCAAGGAGCTGAGTCTCCTGAACTGTCCTGGGTCTGTGCTGGTGAGGCAGGAGAGGTCTGGGGGGAGAGCAGAGGTCACTGGGCAGCGTCCCCCTTTCCCTGTCGGATGGCAGGGGCTGCCCATGGGGAGATTCTGGGCTTTCCACAGAGACCTCAGACGTGCCACCTCCAGGTGGAGCAGCCTGTCTCAGTGCTGGGCAGTGGGAGATGCTCCTCCGTGCCCTGGGGCTGTGGGCACCGTGCCTCTCCACCTGCACTGTAGCTGTTCTCTCTCTCCTGTGAAGGGGCATCATTAACCCAGTGGGTGGCACCAAGAACGCCCGGACAGCCCCGCTGCAGTGTGTCTCGGTGGCAGAGGGACACACCAAGCCTGTGCTCTGCCTGGATGCCACCGACGAGCTGCTCTTCACCGGCTCCAAAGGTGCGTGGTGGGCAGAGGGGGCAGGCGCTGTGGCAGCAGGCTGGCAGTGGGAGCATGGAAGTGTTGGGCATTACAGGGATGGTCTCTGTCCTCAGTGCTGAGCCCTGCCCTGCCCCTGTGCTGGGGCTGGCTGGCTCCTTTCCTCTGGCCCTGTGGGTGGGAGGAGATGCTCAGAAGGTGCATTGTCCTCAGGCCACCATGCCCTTGGAGGAGACACCCCCAACACTCCTGGGCATGTTCTTCCTCCCACAGACCGGAGCTGCAAAATGTGGAACCTGGTGACAGGCCAGGAGATCGCCTCTCTCAAGGGTCACCCAAACAATGTGGTTTCCATCAAGTACTGCAGCCACACGGGGCTGGTGTTCACCGTGTCCACGTCGTACATCAAGGTGTGGGACATCCGCGACTCCGCCCGCTGCGTCCGCACCCTCACGTACGTGCAGCTCCGGGGCACCTGGGCACCCTGGGCTTCTCTGGCTTTGCAGATGCCACTTCCAGAACCTGCAGGGGCTGGGGACACAGCCAGATACCAGCTCCTTAGTGCCAGTTTGCAGTGCTGCTTCCTAAGGGAACAGGGAGGTGGGGAGAGGCTGGGGTGAGGGAGCTCATGGGGCCTCCTGCAGCAAAGGGTCAGGGTCATAAAATCACAGAACGTGCTGAGTTGGAGGGGACCCATCAGGGTCATCAGGTCTGCCTCCTGGCCTTGTGCAGGACACACCAGCAATCCCACCCAGTGTCTGGGAGCATTGTCCAAACACTTTTTGAACTCAGACAGGCTCGGAGCTGTGCCCATTTCCTGGGGAGCCTGCTCAGTGCCCCAGCACACTCTGGGGAAAGAGCCTTTTCCTAACATCCAACCTAAATATCTCCCAGCTCAGCTCCAGCCACATGCTTGAGTCCTGTCACTTGTCATGAGAGGGAACAGATCAGTACCTGCCCCTCTGCTGCCCCTGAGGACATTGAAGACCCCAGTGAGGTCTCCCCTCAGTCTCCTCTAGGCTGAACAAACCAAGTGACCTCAGCTGCCCCTCATGAGGCTTCCCCTGCAGACCCTTCACCATCTCATGGCCCTCCTTGGGATGCTCTCCAGTGGCTTAATGTCTTTTTTATATTGTGGTGCTCAAAACTGCCCTGAGGGCTTGAGGTGAGGCTGCCCCAGTGCAGAGCAGGCAGGACAGTCCCCTCTGACCAGCTGGCAACACTGTGCCTGGTGTGCCCCGGGACATGGATGTCCCTCCTGGCTGCCAGGGCACTGCTGATTCATATTCAACTTCCCACTGACCAGGATGCCCAGTCCCTCCCCAGAGCTGCTCTCCAGCCTCTGTTCCCTGCTGTACACAGCCAGGGTTGCTGTGCCCCAGCTGCAGAATCCAGCACTTGTTAAGGGTCAGGAGCTGTGAAGGGATTTTGCAGCTGTTCTGGAGCTGGCAGCTCCCGTGGAGGGGCACAGCCCCAGACAGCATCATGGCTGGGTAAATCACAGGCTCTTCAACGTGGGTCTCTGTGAGGAGTTGGAGGAGCAGAGAGGAGCGTGGAACAGACAATAGCCGTGGCTGCCAGCCTGGAGTAGGGCACAAAGGTTAGGACAGCATGGTAGGTCAGAGTTGCCCACTTGCTCTGGCACAGGTCTCCTTTCTCCATCCAGCCTCTCCTCATCTGCCTTGGCTTCTCTCTTGGCACAGAGGCCAAGACCTGATGCCAGCACTCATCTGCTCTTCCTGTGGGAAGCAGAGAGGCACAGAGGAGAGCAGAGGAAGCTCAGCTGGAAACCAGGGCAGGATGCTCTGAGGCATGCATAGGCCCTGCATCCTTGGCTGCCTTTGCAGGCCAGGCACTGGCCTGTGGACAAGGCTCTTGCTGGTCCCATTGTGGCCAGAGGGACAGGGATACTTCCAGGGCCTTTCCTCAGTGTGGGACCCAGCCCTGTGGTTCCTCAGTGGCTCTGGGCTCATCCTCCCTGATGCCTCAGGTTTTGGCTTTTATGTTTTTCACATTCTGTGCTGCTTTAGTGTGTGGGTCTGGGCTTCATATGAGGGGATGGTGAGCTCTGTGCACAGAGCAGGGAGACAAAACAGCTGGGGACCAAGGACAACCAATCCAAATTTCAGGCCCAAGAGCACAAACACCGTGGACTGAAGAGAGAAAAACAAGCAGGATGGGGCTTCATGGGCTAAAGCTGGAATTGGACAATGAACTCCAATATGCAAATGGACCAAAACATATAAAAATGAGAGACCTCGTGACCAGTTGTGCATTTTGTGACCATTTTGGCTCATCTTGTGTGCAGCCCTGGCTGGTGTTGGAATACAGGCCCCTCAGGGCACAGGTCCAGAGGCAAATCTAAGCACAAGGATTGAACTGAAACCTCTGGAGAAACTGAGCTAGATGAAGCTACAAAGTGAAATATAAATATAGATTTAGGTTATAGATTTTAGCTTTTAGTAGAAATGTATACTAAGTGCCTTGAGTATCTAAAAAGCTGCAATAGAGAATAAAAGCTTTTTTGTCTTTAGGCATAATTCTACTATAGTAGTGGTATTTCTATAAGGTTACTTTGCCCCAGCCAAAATGTGAACTGCTGGGCTCTTGTGCTGCCCAAGGTGGATCCATTGATGCCTCCTAAAAAATCCCTACTTTATTCTTTAGCCCAGTCCAGTCTCTGCTGTCTCGGGGTCTGGGTGTCGAGGTGACCCTGAGAGTGTAAAAGTCCTTGATTCCCAGCCCATGCAGCCAAAGAAGGAGTCGGAATGTGTAGGGTCAGCTTTTCAAGTTGTTTTTTTAGAACATTCTTCCTCTGACCTGCTGAGCTCTGTCCATGGCATTCTGTCTGCCCTCAGGACAGTGTTTACATTTTATATCAAAAACTACATGTACTATATGTACAATAATGTGCCAATGTCTATCATTTATGTTGGACAGTGAGTCTTTGCCTTAAACCAATAGAAAAGTGTCACCATCACAGCAAGACATGGATGACAAGAAGAAGGAAAAGTAGGTCAGGACTCGCCCAAATCCCTCCATCTTGTACCCCCGAATCACGTTCTAAAAGCCCCAGAATTCTAATTTTTCACCCTGTGTTAGTTCAGATATCACAATACTCAAACCCTTGTGGTTTGTAATTCCTCATACAAAGTTGGCAGTTTTTTCCACGGGCTCAAATCGAAGCCAGAGATGTTTTTGACGTGGTGCCAAGGTCTCTGAGCCCCCTGCCAGGGTCTGGAGACAGCCAGGGCAGCCAGAGGGATGTGCTGGGTTCTGACAGCTCTGGGCTCTGTTCAGCCTTGACAAGGCGTCACCCATTTGAACTCTCCCTCTGTCCCTGTGGAGGCAGGACGGGAATGAAGAGACTCAGATCAGAAGGCTGTGAGAGTAAAACTCTGGTTTATTCAAAATACACCACTCTTTATACAGAGATACAAGGATCAAATCCATCGGTCCTGAAGTGAAAACAACTCACATCATTGGTGTACAGTGCTTGACGGACAGTGATAGAACTTAACTATAAACAATGTGAACAACAAGAGAGATAGAGAATAATTTACATTATTTTCCAACTCTTTCCAGGCTCCTGCCTGGTAGAAACTCTCCGTTTCTCTCTTTGAATCTGAGTCCCACATCCCTCCTCCAGGTCTTCTGGGCAGGTGATCTCTGGGGACGCGTGTGCCGGGACCAGCAGCCGCACGGTGGCCAGCGTGCAGGGCGAGCACCAGATCAACCAGATCGCGCTCAACCCGGGCGGCACCGCGCTCTACGCGGCCGCCGGCAACGCCGTGCGCGCCTGGGAGCTCAGCAGGTGAGGCGCCCGGCCCGGAGGGGAGAATGAAAACCTTCAGAAATCGCCTGGCATACGGGTTTGCAGGACCCTTTCCTCTGGGACTGTAGCGGTTTTAAAAAAATCGCGAAGATTTTTTAAGGTTTTAACGTTTCAGTTGAAGATTTTCTTAGATCTTGAATCTAAGATTTTTAAATTTAATGTTTTAAATTTTTAAAAATTTAAGATTTTCGAAGCTCATAAATCTTAAGATTGAAAGAAAAAATGTTAAAAAAAATTCTTAATATTTAAGATTTCTAAATTTAAGATCTACAGTGGTGACCCAAGGGGTGATGAGCAGCACTGGAGCTGTGTGGGGTGGGGGGTTTGTCTGTGCACTGGACAGAGCTTAGCAAAAGGGAAAAGACAAGTGGAATGAGCAGCAGGACCCTGTCCTTCCCTTGTCCTTCCACCTGCCCAGTGCAGCACCCTGGGCTCTGCAGCCAGATGTTGGCACACACTCATGCTGTAGAATGTAGTTTATTAAAAGTATATAGTATCACAAAATAAAAAAATTAAAATAGAAAGTTTTAAAATATAATAATAGATATAGAACAAGATAAGAGTTTTAGAACATAAACTAATCCTTCTTCTTCATAAGTTTAAGTAGTATTTTATAATTAGACAAAAAAAATCCACTTTCCAGACTTCAAATAATTAATTATTAAATTAAAAGTAAAAATAATTTGAATATAATTTCATAATTGGACAATTTAATCTCAAAAAACCTTATAACAAAAAATAGTTAACCATTTTATACCTTATTAGTAGACTACTACAAAACTCACTACCTGTGAGACTATAACATAAATTTTAAAAAATGAACATTTAAATCTAAACACAGAGTATTGTCTCAAGTATCTTCAATCCCAATCTCAACCAAAAAAAAAAAAACCAAAAACCCAGAGTTTTACTGGTATTTAATGGTGCCCTGCGTGAGCACAACTGTTAAAGTCAAGACCTGAAGAAACAGAGATAATGTACAGCTGCAAGCTAGAAAAGAAAAAATCCCCAGAAAAAAAAAAAAAAACTCAAAATCTCTAAAAACTGGTAAAACAGTTTGAACCAAAATGTAAATGCTAAACTCACCCTGTGCGGCCAGATGTTGGCACTCAGGCTGTTCAGCCAGATGTTGGCACTCTCACCCTGCACAGCCAGATGTTTGCACACTCACCCTGCACAGCCAGATCTTGACACTCTCAACCTGCACAGCCAGATGTTGGCACACTCTCACCCTGCACACCCAGATGTTTGCACACTCACCCTGCACAGCCAGATGTTGGCACTCTCACCCTGCACAGCCAGATGTTGGCACTCTCACCCTGCACAGCCAGCTGTTTGCACACTCACTGTGCAGCTGCTGGCACTCTCCCAGCTGCCCTCCTGCCCTGGAGCCATGGGGAAGGGCTCTCCCTGCCCGCTGTGCCCCGCAGGAGCAGCCCCGCAGGGCCGGGGGAGCTGTGCTGGGGGCACCTTTGGGTGGGCTCCAGCAGGGCTGACCTGCGCCCTCGCCCGCAGGCTGCAGCCCGTGGCAAAGCTGAGTGGCCACATCGGGCCAGTGATGTGTCTGACAGTGAGCCAGACGGCGAGCAACCACGACCTGGTGGTCACCGGCTCCAAGGATCACTACGTCAAGGTACTCTGCTCCCTGGGGAGCAGCACCCCCCGTCCTGCAGGGGAGCCCAGATGTTGGCAACCCTCACCCTTCTCTCCTCCTGAAAGCTGAGCCCACTTTCTGTTTTCACCACCGCATGCCAGGTTTTCACTTGTTTCCTCTTCCCAAATCTTGCCTTTTGCTTGCTCCACAATGCACCTTTGGAGAAGAAGTTGCATTTCTCTCATGCATCAGACTCTCTGGCTGGGATTTGCATGTGAGGGCTGACCCAAATGAGCAGTTCACCCTGTTCTGCTCGATAATCCCCCCGATAAAGATGCCTTGTGCCTGCTCAGTGACAACTCAGCACAGCAGGAGCCTGTCCCTTCCTTTCAGGTTTTAGCAGGTTGAATTAGAGCTGTCCCCAGGGAAGTGAGGAGGGGTAGTGAGATGGTGAGTGACACAGGATCCCACTCAGCTGTCAGCTTGGCTCCAGAGGAGTGTGAAGGCTCACCATGAGTAAAATGCAGCAGAGTGGGGCTGTCCCTGGTGGCAAATCTCTGCTTGTGGCAGGACCCTCAGCCCCAAAAGCCTCCAGCAGCCAATGCTCAGTCCTGTTTCCAGCATCACTCACGGTGCCCTGAGCCTGGAGCACAGAGGGTGGTGGCCAAACTCCCCCAGAGAGGGAGAGGGAGTCCCCAGTGCCATCTGTGGTCTGTTACCCGCTGCTCTTCCCCAGGTGTTTGAGATCACGGAGGGCATGGTGGGCAATATTGGCCCCACTCACAACTTCGAGCCCCCTCACTACGATGGCATCGAGTGCCTGGCCATCCAGGGGGATGTCCTCTTCAGCGGCTCCAGGGACAACGGCATAAAGAAGTGGGATCTGGAGCAGCAGGAACTTATCCAGGTCTGGAGGGGAGCACAGGGCAGAGGGGGGTTGCTGCTGGGGCTGGGGGTTTGTCCAGGCACCTAGTGCCAGTGGAGCTCACCAGGGAGGGCACTCCCAGTCCTGGGCTGTGTGGGGTGAGGGTGTGCTGTGCCCCCATAATTTGTCCAGCAGGGTGCTTGGGATCGCTGGCTCTCCTTCAGACAGGCTGAGGCATCAGTTGCAGTGTGGGGGCTTGTGCTCCACCCTGAACTCTGCTTGTTGTCTCCTGCCCAAAGGAGAAACCAAACCATGACTTTTGTGCCCGTACCCTTGGCTCCTACCTGGGCACCACCAGTTCCACGGTCCCAGTCAGTCCCGGGGTGTCAGTGAGGACCTGAGCTCCCTGAGACGGTGAGGAGCCACCCAGATGGTGCATGGTGGGTCATGGCTGTGCTCTGTGTCTACAGCAAATCCCCAATGCCCACAAGGACTGGGTCTGTGCCCTGGCCTTCATCCCCGGGCGCCCCATGGTGCTGAGCGCCTGCCGAGGCGGCGTCATCAAAGTGTGGAACGTGGACAGCTTCACCCCAGTCGGGGAGATCAAGGGGCACGACAGCCCCATCAACGCCATCTGCACCAACTCCAAGCACATCTTCACTGCCTCCAGGTGAGCCCCGCCTCTGCCCCACGGCCCCTGGGAAGGGGGAGACCCTGGGTTTGAGCTGCCACCCCTGGGCCTGGGCGGGTGCTGGGGGAGCGGGGAGGGAATCGCAGCTTTTTAGTCCCTCCTTCATCTCCTCCTGCCCACTGCAGCCTGCCACGGCCAGGCCTGCCCACTGCAGTGCCAAGAGCTGTGCCCGGCCATCCCCTGCCCCGCTCTGGTGATGCCCTGGGTTACTCCCCACCAGGGACCCCTCTCCCTCGGGGCTGGGCATTGTCTGCTGCTCTCGGGGAGCTCTTCAGCAGCAAGACTCTGATATCCTCTTTTCGACCCTGTCCCTTTTCTCCCTTCCTTTTTCTCTGTCTCTCTGCCTCTCCTTCTCCCCACCTCCCATCTGTGCCACAGCGACTGCCGGGTAAAGTTATGGAATTACGTGCCTGGGCTCACCCCTTGCCTTCCACGACGCGTCCTTGCCATAAAGGGCCGTGCTACTAGTCTGCCTTGACCCTCCTGCTCTTTGACTCTCTTGCTCATATGCTCCTCTTCTGTCTCCCCTTCCCTTTTCTCTCCATCTCTCCCTCCCTCTGTCCCTCTCACTGTTGCTTTTGCTACTCTCTCTCTTTCCCTCCCCCCCTTTTTCTCTGGTCTGAGCTGCTTCTTCACGGTATGAAACTATTCTGCGTTTTTCCACTTGATAAGTCTGTTAGAATGGACTCGCCCCCTTGTCCCAGTCATAGCCCCGCCTTGGTTTCACTTCTTTTTGGTTTTTTTTTCCTCGCCAAGTGCCCACATCTACTTTGGCAACTCAGTGGGAAGCCGTGGCCTGCCCGTGCCTTCGCATGGCTAGTGGGTTGGGAGTCAGCAGCCCCCCCAAACCAGCCCATGCCCCAGGAGCAAAGCAGCTCCCTGGATATCCCTGCTGGGACCTGGCTGGAGCTCGTGCAGGGCGGGGAGGAGTCCTGGTGTGGGGTCAGCCCTGGAGTTCTCCCATTCCTTTGTCCCCAGCTCCTGCCTGCGGGTGAGCTGCAGGCTGAGCCCCATTGGGCTCTTGCCTTCTCCCCAAGGTGCCTCAGACAACATCCTGCCAAGGGAAGAGGGCCTGGAAGTCTGGGGGGCTGCATGCCGGGGCTGGGGAGCGAGCAGCCCGTGGGGCAGTGCCTGGGGCTCCTGCCCCGACCCCTGGGTCATGCTGTCCCTCTCACCTTTGTTCCCAGCGACTTGACAGTGAAGCTCTGGAGTGGGAGGAGGTTGCCTGCGGGGTCAAACTAGGAACTGCAGAAAGACTGGAAGGCTGGGGCAGGGTGAAGGTCAGGGTACCTCCCCCTGCTGCCAGGACTCAGTCACCCACAGGAGCTCAGCCCAGGACAGGGATTTCTTTGTGCCTGACCCAACGGGGTGGACGATGCTGCGTCTGCTACTTCGAGCACTGTCAGCTCCTGTGAGGAAGCAGCTCTGGGGGGCACCAGCAGCTCCACCTGCCCTCCTGCTGAGGTTTCTCCATGGTTCTCCAGTGAACAGGAAATGTTTCACCTCTCCTCTCGCCCATCCTGCTGTGAGGACTTTGGGGGTCAGGGATCCCTGACTCCTCAGAGACACCCGGCTCCCTCCTGCCACTGTGGGCCCACGTGGCCTCTGCCATGCTGTGCTGCTCCCAGGCTGGTTCCTGCAGGAGCCTTCTCCACTCCACGAGGACATTTGGTGTCTGCTGGCCAGGACCACAACACAGAGGGTGCTTCTCTGGAGCCATTACTTGTGAGACACCTCTGCTGTGGGGACTGCAGAAGGATTTCCTGGTACTCCCAGCCTCCCCTTTCCTGTGTGGAAATGTCCCCAGTGGTTGGAGAGCTGCACTCTGAGCTCCTTGGCCGTGTCCCATCTGGTGAGGCACAGCAGGCCTGGGGAGATCTCCACTGGACAACTTCCAGACAGACCTGCTGCAGTTCCCTTTGACACTCTCCACACCCCAGGTGTAAACTCAACTGCCCCATGGCTCTGGGCTCTTCCCCACGTGCCCAGCTCTGCTCTGGACGTCGTGGCCCCCATCAGGGCTTCGTGCTGGGTTCCTGCAGCGAGTTAATCCCCTTGGGACGGAGAAACCAAGCAAGAATGGAGGTCACAGGGCAAAAGAGCCAAGGCTGGACTTGTCACCCCACTGCTGTGGCTCTGTCTGTCCTTCCCTTGGGTTGTGCCCTCAGAGCTCTGCCTGCACTGGGGCTTGCTCAGGCTGGGCCTGCTGGGCTGCAGGGCTGGAGAGGAGCCAGCAAGGCATGGAGCAGCCAGAGCAGAGGGGAGGGGGTTGCACACTCTGCCCTCGCACAAGGCTCCTGATTCCCCCTGTGCTCCAAGGACAGTCCTGCAGGGGATGATCTCGCACAATCTCATCTCCTTGAGGGTCTGGGGGCTCCACCCAGGAGTGTCTCCCCAAGGACGCACATTCTGCAGGCTCCTTCCTCTGTCTCTCCTGTTCAAGGGGGGCTGGTAAGGCCCTGCTCTCACACTGGAGCTTCCCTGCATCTCTCCAATGGACCATTGGACCATCCCCTGCTCTGTCCTGCCCTGGGCCACCCAGGGCTCTTGTGGAGTGGCCGAGGAGACCCCAGGATGGGTGGTCCTGCCTCACACACTCTCCTTTCCCCTTTGTCACAGAAGAAGCAGCACTTGAACTCAAATTCAAGGATTTCTCCGTGTGATCCCACCAGCACTGAACTGGGATCTTGGAGGCCAGGGGCTCCAGGACCTGCCCCATAAAGCACAGACCATTTCCCCTCTGCTCTCTCCAACCACGGTGACACCTGGACCTGCCCCAGGTCAGCTGCCACCAGCTCTTGTTCCAACATTCTGCTGGAGTGAGGGGATTCCTCTGCATCAAGAAGGACAGGAGTATCTCTGTTGATTTTGGGGGGGAAGGGGGGTTGTCTTTTTTTGGGAAAATTCCATCCTGCTGGCTTGCCTTGGTGGAGGGTAAATGGTACCTGTGTGTGAGTGTGAGAGTGAGTGTGAGTGTGAGTGACCCTGCCCAGGACTGGTCCCTGTGAAGGTGGCTGAGCCCTGCACAGCCAGGACTGGTGACTGTGTTGAGGGGAGTCTCCCACCCATCCTGTGTGACCTGTGGAGCTGAGGCTGCAGCCAAAAATGCACAGAGACCTCACCAGCCAAGGGCACACAGCCATGGTGGGGGTCTGGGGGTCTGCAGGAGCTGTCTCCACCCTAAGCCTGTCTTGGCTTTCTGCACTCATTCCTCAGCTGGTTTATCCTTTGCGTGGCTGGAGGGGCTGTGTGTGCGTGTGGGTGTCTCTGCTGAGTGCTTGGCTGTAGCCTGGTGTCGTGTGTGAGCCTCTGTCTGCCCTGAGATCTCCAGTGCCTGGAGCCTTCCCTGCTGCCATGGGTGAAGGGGGCACAGCTGGGGTCACACCTGCCTTGCCTTCTGCCACCAATACCTTCCTGTGTGCAGGCTGAAGGTGCCTGTTCAGCACTGCAGGGCTGAAGGTTGGTCCTGGGTGATGCTGGGGCATTGGTGTCCTGAGGCAGGGGGTTTGAAGTGAGGAGAGTCCTGATTTAGGAATAGCATTCTCCAGTTTACTGCTCCCACTAAAACCCTGCACCTCTCACATCCCCATCCCCATCCCCAGCAGGGTGGAGGGGGGAGTTGGAGGCACAAAAGATGAAGATCACAGATTGAGAGAAGAGCAATTTATTGGAAACAGCAGTAAGATAAAAGACAAACAGTAAAACAGCAACGATATTAATAACAGAAGTATCCAAAAGAGAGAATGATTCACGTGCAGAATGCTCACCCTGACCTGCCTGCAGCCGTGTTCTACTGACCAGAGTAGACCTCTCCTCTGGGGAGAAGAGAAAAATGGATCCTTCCCCTGAGTATCTCCATGGCATCAGGGTACACTGTGTGTAAAGCCTTACACTCTTGTGGATCTGCTGTGCCAGCCTTGGACCCACACAGCCCAACAGGGCCCATTGCTGCCCTCCCCTCCCCTAAGTGACATTTGCCTTTTTATTCTGAGCACGTGCCCACTGGAAACGGGGCTGGCATTGATCCTTGAAGGATTTCCTGCAGCTGTTGTTTTTTCTCTCAGCTCACACCCCCATGCTTGGGGCAGAGGTGGGTTTTCCTTCCCTCTTCCTCTTGTCCTCTCTGTGCCCATGCAGGTAAAACCACTGGTTGCCTTGTGGTGTGTCCCCTCTTGAGAGAGGCTCTGGTCTGTACTGGTGTGACATGGGACATTTCCTCAGTCCACAGTCCATGGGCTGGTCCAGTCTTAGACAGTCTTTTTACACAGTTGAGACAGGCTGGCAGGAAGAAAAAATCATGATCTTCATCATCAGAGTTGAGGAGTCACCTTTAACATTGTTTGTTCTCCTTCTGTTCAGATCCCTGAATAACCTCCCTAGAAATCTCTTTCTTGACTCCAAAGATTATGCGGCCTGCAGTAAGGAGACCTGGAAAAACATGATTTCCTTAACATTCAAAGGGAATTCACAACTTCAAAGCTGTTTTAACAGGAAAAGTGGGTGAAAGGCTGGGGAAAATCATCCACATCATTGCCAATGAGGCTGTGCTGTGTACAACCTCCTGGCACGTGCATGGTGTGCACTGGACCTCATCTGCAGGCACTGCTGCTTGTTTGAATCCCTAGGGACCCCCTCTGCCACTCCCTCGGGTGCTGGGCACCCTCTCCATGCTGCTCCACCTGCTTGGGTGCACTGCTCCATTATCCTCGAGGGAATGCCTTCCCTCAGCTTGGCAGGAGCTGCTGCAGAGGTGAGAGTTGCTGTGCTCTTCCCTTGCCCATGCCACGTCCCAGGACAGGGACAGTGTTTGGCTTCACTGCCATCAGGTTCCACGGCGTGGCTTCAGCATCCCAGCATTGCAGCACTGGGGTCAGCAGGGGCTCAACCCCCCTGGCAGCTGAACCCTCTTCAGCTGTCCCTCACCTGGGGATGGGGTGATTATCCCCAGCCCTGCCTGCTCCTGTTGTGAGGGCTCTGCTTCCTCTTCATCCCTCTCCCTACAAACTGGATAGAGATTTGGATTTCTTCTGTGTTGGGGCACTGCTGCCAGCACGGGTTGTTCCTGTGCTTCAGCTGCAGCTTGAGTGGCCACGGTGCTGCTGCTCTGCCTTCCTCCTCCTCCTCCTCCTCCTCCTCCTCCTCCTCCCGAGGGTGCTGTCTGGTGCAAAGCAGTGTCTGATAAATGCTGCAGTGAGGCTCCTCACTGGAACTGCTGCAACATTCTCCTTGCAAGTGCTCTGTCACTTTTACAGCACCCTGTACTTCTTCCAAACCACTGGAGGAGAGAATTTCTTCCCAAAGTGGCCCATTTTCTCCCACATTCCATGCCACTCATGACTATTCCCCTTCAGGACAGATCTCTGAATAACCTCCCTAGAAATCTCTTTCTTGACTCCAAAGATTATATGGACTGCAGTAAGGTGACCTGGAAAAATATGATTTCCTTAACATCCAAAGGGAATTCAGAGCTTCGAAAGCTGTTTTAACAGGCCTCAAGGGGGGAAAGTGGGTGAAAGTCTGGGGAAATCATCCTCCCCTGTTCCCCCCACAGGCTGGTCATAATTGTTATTAATGGACTCCCAAAGGAAGTGCCTGAGGTAAGGGTAGGAGAGCAACACTGCAGACATATCCCAAATGACCCTCACTGCCCTTGGTGTTATCATGGCATAAAGTGACAGGGCAATCCTGATCCCCCTCCCTGAGACAGAGGCTGTGATGGGAACAGACAGAAATATGAACAGGGTTAGGTTCCCACTTGGGCAGACCAGAAAACATTGTCACCACTGGCTCAGCACCTAATGCAGAAAATGTTTAGATCAAATTTGCTTCCTACCCACTCTGGGCAGATCTGTGGTTATCTCAACCATTCAAGCCCTACTTTGGATGAAAAAAAAAAAGCTGTTGTGGTTTAGGAATGGTATTCCCCAATTTAGTGTTCCCACTAAAACTGTGCACTGCCACAACCCCCAGCTCCTTCCTTCCCTGTGGTGGAATGGAGAGGAGAACTGGAGGCACAAAGGTGAAAAAATCACAGGCAGAGATAGGAACGATTGACTGGAAACAGCGATGAGATAAAAACAATTAACAGCAACAACATTAATAACGAAAGTGTACAAAAGAGAGCAAATCACATGCAAATGCTCACTGCAGTGCAAGCTACCCTGATTGGAAGAGATCCCTTCTCCCTGGAAGAGACTCCCTTCCCCTTGCCCAGCAATGATGTGAGGTGGTCTGAAAGGACCTCTGGGCTCTGGCCATGTCCCCTCCTGGCTACTGCAAAAATTAACTCTGTCCTGGCTGGAACCAGGCCAGGGGTGACTGTGATCCCATAGCTCTGTGTGTGTGTGTGTGTGTGTGTGTGTGTGTGTGTGTGTGTGTGTGTGTGTGTTTGTAGGTCTCAGTACCTGTGTGGGTTGATGTTTCTCATGCAAAAGAGCATTTTTTGGCTGTTGATCTGGTTTAGCTACCTCACGGTGCAAGCTGGGTGCTGTCGTCATTGGGTTTCCTGTTGGGGATGGGGTGGGGAGTTTGTGGTGTAAGATTTTTTTTTTTTCTCTTAATTATTGTTATTGTTATGGTCTTGACACTTGAATTCGTCCTGGGGACACGTGGCCTCACTGCCACCTTGCTGCATGTCTGAGCCACCCCCTGTGTTCCCAGCCCTGCCTCCTCCTGGGCAGGGCAGCAGGGCTGGAGCCCCTGCCCTGCCAGCTCCCCCTTTGCTGTGGGATCCCCCAGAGCCAGATTCTGCTCCCATTTCTCATAGGACTCCTGGGCTGGGGATCTGGGGTGTTCCATTGGTGATTGGGCTGATTGGCAGCCTGGGTGTGGCTCCCATGTGGTCCCACGAAGGGTGGAAGGGGAGCTCTGAAAGGCTCAGCCCAGATTTCTCCCTCTGCTCTCACAGATGCTCTCTGTGGCTGAGATGAAGCTCTCGACTGGAAATGTCAGTGCAAAGCACATTGCTGGGATGGGCTGGCTCCAGCCACCACTGCCCAGAGCCAGCTGCAGGGCAGCAGGGCCTTGGGGCTGTAAAAGCCTCTGCCCACGCTGGGGATGGTGTGTGAGAAGCTGATTCTGGTGTGAGGTGTTGATTTTTCACTCCCAAAAAACGTAGTTGTGTCAGATTCAGTGCCAGGCACTGAACAGAAACCAGGGGGACCCTGGAGCCCCCAGCTCAGGCTGGCACAGGGCCTGGGGAGCCCCAGGCCAGTTTGGGGTGACACTAAAGCACAAGGTCCCAACGCAGGTGGGTCGACGAGGGGTGGCCCCTGGGACCCTGGCCCCCCAGAGCTCCAATGGGACCATGGGCTGAGACAGGAGGAGGAGGAGGACTGGGATGAAGGCTCTTGGCCTGTGAGTGAGCTGTTCCATCCCTGTGCACTGTGCTGGCTGCACAACTGAAGTCCCCTCTGGTGGTCTCAGAGCCCCTCTGAGAGCCCCCCCGGGGCAGGGACACTTTGGAGCTGCCTTTGTACCACACCTGGATCTGTGACCAGGGTGTGATCATACCTGCACTCCTTCCTCAAGCTGCTGGGTCATGCCTCTTCCCCCAGGGCCTAACTCTTGCTCTGGGGGTCTCCTCACCCCCAGCACACAGCTCCAGCCTCTGTGCAGGGGGCAGGGCTGCCCCAGGGCTGAGCTTTGCACAACAGGGGTGGACCAGAGTCAGGAGCCTAAAAGCACTGGATCCCCAAACCACTGTGAGCCCTCCTGAGCAGTGTCCCCTCCTGCCACCTACAGCTCCGATGGCACAGGCTGGGCTGGCCAGCTGCGAGCAATGGGAGCTCTGGGTCCCATCCTGTCCCCCCCAGGTGTGATGTTCCTCCCCACCACCTCTCAGCACAGCTGCTCAGGGGTCTCAGTTGCTGCCTCCTGCCTTGGTGCTGCAAACCCAGTGCCTGCTTCCCACGGTGCTCTCCCAGTGCTCCTCACCCCTCCTTCCTGTGCTCCTCACCAGTCCTGCCCGTGCCCCCACTGGAGAGAGTCCAGGTACCATCCCTGATCCCTGCCAAGCACAGGGTTCCAGCTTGCTTCCCACAGGCTCCCTGGAGCTTCACTGTCTCCTGCAGGCTGCACATCCTCCTGAGCCCCCCTCACCCTTCTGGGAAGGGACGAGGACCCTCAGCCCCTCCAGGTGCTGCATGGTGCTCCAGCTGTGACTGGGACAGGCCCAGCTCCCAGAAAAGCAGAGCCCTGCACCTCCCTCCTGCCCAGGGCTCGTCCCCTCGCCCAGCACAGCTCTGCCCTGGCTCCTTCCAGCTCTGCCCTGGCCTGGGAGCCCCGGGTGCAGCCCAGCGAGGCTGGGGCAGCTGCAGCACTGTGTCCCCTGCTCCATCTCTTTCTGCACAAGGAGCACAACAGCAGATGCCTTTTCACACTCGGAGCTTTTTCCAGAGGCCAGCTGCTCTGGAGGCTGCTGTGGCCTCTGTGGGGGTTTGTCAGAGCATGAGGTGTGTGTGTGTTTTCTACCTTGGTGTGTTCCTGTAAATAGTGTAAGTTATTGTGCTCTCCTGCTGTACGTTTTTTCAATGGCTGTTTGTTTCTTGCCTTTTTGTCTTTGCAAATAAAATGTTCTGGACATGAAGGGACGGAGCACAGAGGTGGCTTTGAGGAGGGAAAGGGCACAGCCAGGAGCCTCCCATCCCCTCCTGTTCCCATGAGCCTGGCCCAGGGACTGGGGGATAGATGGGGAGGGGGGACCGTGGCTGCATCCCTTCTGGATGGAGTGGCAAGTGTCCCTCCCCATGACAGGGGATTAGATGTGGTGGCCCTTAAAGGTCCCTTCCACCCCAAAACATTCTGTGATTCTATAATCCTGTTGGCTGGGAGAAGTTTGGACAAGAGGAAATAGTCTCAAGTTGCTCCAGGGGAGGTTCAGGTTGGATATTGGGGGAAATTCCTGCACCAAAAGGGTGGTCAGGCCTTGGCACAGGCTTGGCACCATTGCCCAGGGCAGTGGTGGAGTCTCCATCCCTGGAAGTGTTCAAAAGACGTGTGGATGTGGCACTGGGGGACACGGGTTAGTGGTGAATGTGGCAGTGCTGGGGGAGTGGTTGGAGTTGGTGATCTCAGAGGGCTTTTCCAAAGGAAACATCCTTTCCATGGTTCTCAGGTGACCTGAGCCCCCTGGGCAGCAGGACCCCAGGCAGACGGGGCAGAACTGATCTCGGTGGGGGCAGATCCAGGGGCTGAGGTGGTGGAAGGGGCTGAGGGGCTGCCCCTGTCCTGGCCAGGAGGAGGAGGGTGCCCAGCAGGCAGTGCCAGCATCCCTGAGCCTGCAGAGGGAAGGGAAGGGAAGGGAAGGGAAGGGAAGGG